TGACCAAGTGAAATTTTAATTTAAAAGTTAGTGTGTGTGTGTGTGTGTGTGTGTGTGTGTGTGTGTGTGTGTATTCTATAGAAAATTTAGATATATTTTTTTGTCAACACTGAACTATTTCAATTTTTGGATACCTCTTTCAGTATTGGAATTTCTGCCAAAAATTCAAACATTTCTGTGGAAAGTTTAGATGAAAAGAATTTTGGAGGGCATCTGTCAAAATCTTGTGAAGGGACACGGTGAGAACACATTTTTTTGACCAGCTCTAGTACCTGTTACATTTTAGACATTCCTGACTCCATTTGTTTTTTTGTGGCTCTAGACCATGACTGAGAAACCAGACATCTGAGGTATGTTCCTGGCTTTGTCACAGACTTCCTGTGTGACCTTAGACCTAATTTTTTAAAGTATCTACTAATTTTGGGTGCATCCATTTTTTGGGGGCAGGTGTTCAACTGGAGACCCTTATGTCCTGACTTTGAGAGATTATGAGCACCCACAACTTCACTTCAGAACTGTGGGTGCTCAACATCTCTGAAAGTCAGAGAAAAACTAGCTGATGATATTGAAAGCTTATGCCTTAAACTCTTTGACTCTGTTCTTCCATTTGTAAAATGGAAATGATAATACAGGACTTCCTTACCTGACAGGCTTGTTGTGATGTTTAGTTCTTTAAAGTATGCAAAGAGCTTTGAGCTCCTCACACTGAAGACACTATAAAAGGGATAATCTTATGCACTATTTCACATGTTATTCTAGTATTAACTTTCCAGTAATATAGCTTACAGGTTTGCTATGTGGGAGAGCATTAAATGGCACTACTTAGGGGTTTGTTGGGCTGGCCTTTTAAATTCAATGGCTGTTATGAGACTGAATTTTATTTGACAGCCAAATCTAAAACATTTCCAAATACACACAAGTTCCTTTGTTTTTTGCTCCAAAGTCCTCGGCCTTTGAAGATACTTGATTGATTTATTGTTTTTCAAGGAAAGATCAGATGATCTTTTCTACTCTTCTTGTATGCTCTCCTGTGAGTGTGATTTCAGTATCTCTATTCTCTGTTTCTTTCTAGGAGGTGAAATAGGACATAGCCTTTGTGACGACAACTTGACCCTCATTGTCTCAGATGGAGAGGCTGGTACAGTGGATAGTTGTTGTTTTAATAAAGCTCTCCCTCCACCATTACCTCTTCACACCAGTCTCCCAATCTGTGATCTGAACATCACAGTCCTCCCCATCAACAACCAACGTCCCACCATTCATCTGGGTATGTTTACTAACCGTTTCACATTTCAATGTATTCAATCTGAACTACCGGACTATAATTTTTTCCACATTATAATTCAGAAGGTAGATTTCTCGCCCTACTCTGGTTTGGAGTTACTGTGATGACACCAGAATACACACCCAAAGCTTGGAAGTGCTGTGCTGTGCTCCAGGTTGTATAGTTTTTCATGACACAGGATGGAGACCTGTGCTGTCATAAACCTCAATGCACAGGACCCAATAGACATGGAATGCTTCTGTTCAGAGATCAGTCATGCTACCAAAACCATTTGACTAACTGGTAAACTGAGCTATCTGCTGCTTTGCAGACAATGTAGTATTTGCTTTTTGGTTTGCCTCCACGCATTGCTCCAAATCCTAATTGTGAAGAATCCAAATTTTGAAGTATAGACAGCATCTAATCCAATTTATCCCATTCACTTTGCCAGTGCAAATAACACTGACAGTTTAGAGAAAATACTTAATTTGGCTAAGTCTTTCTAGTTTACTTCTCAAAATATTAAACATTCTAAAGGCAACAAAAAACCCTACACACAACAGGCATTAGGTGTCTATAACTTGAAAAAGCAGATTAATGTTAATTACAATAGGCCAGATACTGCTGTCTTTAGACAAAACTTTTGCTGAAGGCAATGGGAGTTTGCCTGAGGAAGGTCTGCAGGATCAGGCCCAATTTTATTATTTGCCCTACTGTTTAACAGTAGCATTTCAACATGGTTTAAAAATAGCATTTCAGCTCCTAAGCGAAATACAGAACACTGGGGGCTAAATTGCGGACAATATTGTAGCTTGTGGCATCTTTCTCCTTCCACTGCTCAGGTGATGTAAAAGGGCTGGATTCTGGCTGTAGCTGGGCAGTGGAGAATTCCTATTTGTGGAGAGGAACACTCTGCTGGTATAAAGCTGCTGAAGCTGGCTCCTGTACCAATCGCTACCCTAGTGAGGCAGGAGTGTGGTGCTCTGTCATGCTAGCTGAGTAATTTAGAGCCACCTCAAGGCTGCTCTAACAGATGCCAGGGCCAGGTGCACAGAAGTAGGACTCCAACCCACTATTCTGAGCAGAGTTTGGATTCAGGGCAGAATTGTGCCCTGTGCCACTGTGCAGTAGTAGAGAATGTAGAGGTGGTAATTTGCAGTCACTGTCCCAGGGGCAGGTCCTAGACCTGCAGCAGGCCCTGGAGAAGAGCATACAGTGGCAACTGCTTCTAAAACTTTTTAGTAGCTTGCAGCATGTGCTTGCCCTGTCTGTCCACTCTCTCAGTGGATTTCTAGCATGGCTGTCAGCATTACGATATCAGGGTCCTTCTACACAGAGGGAGCTCAGTGATAGGTACTATGCGTAACCTCTGCATGGTCACACAAAATGGGAGAAGACTCACTCTTCCCCTCACCTTGTACATCTGAACAGGCTAGGTACAGTCTAGTCCTAAGTGACTGCTCCATTTGGAAAACATGAGTGAAGAGACTAGAGTAGGACAGGTTAGAAGTCAGAAAGCCTGAATGAGAATAGATGTAGAGATGGGTTCAAAAATCCACATCTGGTTTTGAAACTTCGCAAGGCTTTTGAGACCCTGTGCTCTTTGAGTGAGGGCCATCTGTAGAATAGAGTTCATCAGAAATTACCCATGTCAATTCTGACTCCTGTATAATCCCATTCCCACTGACAGAAAGCACATATAAAAAGATCTCTCTGCAGTGGATCCTTTAAAACCACCAGATCAGAGCAGGTGATTAACTACTATGCTTTCATAGCCTAGATCTCTGGTAATGATTACTGACAATCTCCAGTTATAACAAGGGTGATATACGTTTAGTGCTGCAATGTTATGCTGTGCAATGGTCGTTATTCTGCTCGCTTTCCAGGGAAATCATTTTCCTGTCTCACTTTTTTTTTGTTTTCAAATGAGTGCTTAAAGATGTTCCTTTCAAAGATGTGTGCTGGCAAGTCACAATACCGCTGAGGATGGAAGGTCCGTAGCTCCAGTAGGAGGAAGAAACTTGGAAAAATGGAGTTGGTGCGGAAGAGTGAACAAGGTCACTGGTGACTGTGCTCCGCTCCATCTGTGCAGGCACACTTCTAGCAGAAGTATTTCAGCAACATGATAGTTTGGAACTCCCTTGAATTCGTCACAGAATTTTAATTCCCTTAATTTAAAAAAAAATTATTCATTTCTTTGGTTGCATTTGGTAATGAAACCCAGGCACCCCTTTGCTCAGTAATTCAACTTGGCTGACCCATTTAATGGAGAGATTAAATGCTAGTCTCACTGTTAACCCGGGAATCAGTTAATGCAGGAATCATGCTCCTCTCACGGGAGAAAGGAGCATAGTCTAGTGAGGAGAGCTGGAGAAGTCAGTGGTGCTCAGCATGTCTGAAAATCAGGCCCTACGTGCCTTTAACTGAAATAAGGAAGAAACCAAAATTAGTGGACATGTCTGAAAATGTTGACCTTAAAATCTCTGTGGTTCTGTTTCGCTTTTTGTAAAATAGGTATAAAAATTATTTAACTTACAGAGGTTTAAGAGCTCACGTGCTTAACTTTAAATATGTGAGCAGATCCCAAAAGGACTTCTAGTTAAACGTGCTTAAATGCACTTCTGGAGCAGGGTCTAATTGATTTCTGTTTACGAAGGCTTTGAGAACTTTGGATGAAGGACATGATAAAAGTGTAAATTAGAGTTGGTTAGAATTTTTTCATCAGTGTTTTGGTTTTGGCTCTTTTGTTTAAATGGGGGCGGGGGATCAAGCCACAATGTTACCATTTTTTTCCGGGTCTAGTACAAACTAGATAATGATACTAAATATAAAACTAACCTCAGTGCAGCAGCAAGGTTGAGATAGCCAGCAAACAAAGATCAGGAAATTCAGAAAGTTTAAGATTTCTATTGCAACATTAAGTTGTCCCATTGAATTGCATATTATAATACACAGGTAATTGAAATTACTCCTTCTGGAAAAATCCTACAAAATTTAAGATTATAATTTTTTAAAATTAAATTCTATGGATTTCTTTTTTTAAAGAGATAATTTTTATAGGGTCCTATTGATTTTCCTGTGTTACACCACCTTACCTGAGATCAAAATTTGGACCACTGAACTTTTCTTTATATGACTGTTTTTTTCCCCATTCCCCTGTTAATGACAGCTATAAAACCAGCCAATTTCAAAGTTTCTAGCTTTGGCTTATTTTGAGTTATGCAAGCACAAATTTAAGGGGGAAAATTATTTTTCATGTTCGTGGAGCTCAAAAAGACCTGAAATGATACTAATCAAACTTTCCAAAAGGAGCTTTTACCTTTTGGACCACCATCAAATATAGGAAAAGTTCAGCCATGAAAAAGATTGTCTAAGCTTCTGTCTCCTGATTCTCCATTGCATTCCTTCAGTTGTCTGCCAATGTAACTCTGCTGAAATCAATGGAGTTTTATTCTGATGCAAACATTTGAGAATCAGGCCCATGGTATTTATGAGTTGTTGGCTTTCAGTTCTTGAGAAGGGGCAGGGACTTCTCTATGATGCACATCACCCTTTACCATCCCCTTTGAAAATTCTTGCTGAGTTCTTCTTCAACTATTCTACAGGGCACAAGTCCTTAAGGCCTGAGAAGTGCTGAGTACCGTCAATCCTCTGTGGCTTCATTGGGTTACTCATTCAGTTTCAAAAACACTAGTTTGCATCCGTTGCCGTGCTCCCTTTTCCCTTTCTGAACCTCCCACTTGCTTTCAGCTCCATCTTGCCCTCTCGCTAACTTCTAAAATCCCATCTCTGTCTGTGTCATCATGTGCAGTTCCGCTTCTGTGCTGGGCTTCAGCTCTGTTCAATTTTTTTGTGCTCTGTTGCTTCCCTTCTGAGGGGTGCACTGTGGTCCTACTCTGATTGTGGACCTGTATGTGGTGATGTGATCTGAGATGAGAAAGCAGCACTCCTGTAGGATCTTCCAAAAGGGCAGAGTCTTAGCAGTGGGGAATTAGAGGCACGCTGGATACTACAGTGATAGGCACGCTACACATGCCTAGATAGATTGGCTGGAGAAAGGTGGTTCAGAGGGGCGAAGTGGGGAGTCAGTGTCAATATTATGGGACTGAGGTCTGAATTAACTGGCACACTGAACTGTGCACATTGCTACAAGTTTGTGGTTTCAAACTCTGCCAGCACTGTCAGAAGACCATTTAACCTCTGGCATCAACTAGAAATGGGCAAAGATACAAGCCAGTGCAGTAGTGCTGATTAATGCATCCTGGGGGGATTTAGTGAGGCACTTGGCACTACACACCTAAGAAGTACATTCGCTGGCATGAAAGCTCCACTTGGCATGTCCAGTCATAAATATAAACCATGTTTCTTAAAAAAGTCAGGTCTTGCCCATATAGCATAGAATCATAGAAATGTAAGGCTGGAAGGGACCTTGAGAATCATCAAGTCCAGCCCCCTGTGTGCTGAGGCAGGACCAAGAAAACTAGACCGTCTCTGACAGATGTTGGTCTAACCTGTTCTTTAACAAATTCCAGTGATGGGGATTCCACAACCTCCCTTGGGAGCCTAGTCCAGAGCTTAACTACCTTTATAGTTAGAAAAGTTTTCCTAATATTAAACCTAAATCTTCCTTGCTGCAGATTGGGCCCATTACTGCTTGAATGTTCTACCTTCAGTGGACATGGAGAACAATTGATCACCGTCCTCTTTATAACAGCCCTGAACATATTTGAAGACTGTTATCAGGTCTCCCTTCAGTTGTCTTTTCTCAAGACTAAACTTGCTCAGTTTTTTAAATCTTTCCTCATAGGTCAGGTTTTCTAAACCTTTTACTATTTTTGTTGCTCTCCTCTGTACTCAATCCAATTTGTCCACCTCTTTCCTAAAGTGTGGCGCCCAGAATAGGAAACAATGCTCCATTTGAGTGCTTGTGAATGTATATATGTCATAACTGGAATATGTTTTATGCTACATATGCATTGTAACATATCTCTGTAAAGGTTATGATCTACTGAATCTATTCATCCTATTTGTATGCATGTATCATTTTTGTATTCAAAGTTATGAATATTGGCTGTGTACTTGCTTGATTTTTAAGTAGTCTTAGTAAAGCATTTGGTCAGC